GATTTTGCTTGACTGCGGAGGAAGATTTTACCATGTGACTCACTTATCTGATTCATCAGATCGGCTTGCCGTAACAAAACAATCTATCCCAAAGGTACTAAATGATGATTTTTGATTTGTGTGATGCCCGCACTGTAGGGATCTATTTAACACATGCTTTCTTGACAAAATTTTATAATGCAAAATAATTTGATACTTCCAGTTAAGATAGGCATAACTTTCTGAATATTTTCAATGCTAATATGGGGGGTCATTATTACAATATTATTAATGTTCGAAAGTGTAACGGGGGTATGATGCAACAATAGAGGTATCATTATGATGGTTCTTGGAAGGAGGTGTTGACATTAATAAGGACATTAAAGTGGTGGATAATAGTAGTGGGATGTATTATAGTAATAGGATTTCTAATGTGCAGGACATTTTCATAGAAGATTGCAATGATTTGTTTAAATAATGGAATTGACAAAGTAGAATCTTGTTAGAACAAGAGTCATAAGAGGGAGAAACCATAGTAATAGTCGGAATAGCGGAAGTTACTTGCAGCTAAACCCCTGCTGCGAGTATAATAAAGTACAGTTGATTTATGTTCATAACACTGCAGTCGTGAATATACTGTGTTAATTTCTCTATCAAACGAAATTGTATTCACTATATTCGCCGCTATGTTATTGTCACTTATAGTAAAGTTTTTTTATTATAATAAACCTTCGGTTATTCTTACAGTGTATATCGATATGTTGTATGTAAATCCGTCACTATGTTTTTGGGGACCCCAAACATAGTGACGGATATTTTTACATACGACATATACAGTGTGCAAAAAAAAAGGGGCAATTTCCAGCATTCTCTTATAGTCTGTGTATAGGAATTTTGGATTTGTTCATGTCATGTAAAATAAAACAAAAGCTTATTTTATTTTATGTAATACAAGTTTAATCGCTTGACAACTTTGAGAGTTATTCTACTACAAATGGCTCCCATCTAAACAAGAGAATTTCTAAAGCAGAAAACATGCAATGCTTCTGAAGTATACTCACAGATAAAATTTTACCTAAGACTGTGTACCCCCCCAAAAAAAAAACTTAATGAAACTGGAAATTCCAAAAATTTTAGTGAATTGGAGGTTTATGATTAAAGAGCGGAATAATATTCCCGATAGCCTTCTAATGCTCAACGGAACAACGAAATTATTGCAAAAAGTAGTAAAAAAATTCTATGTTAATTTTGCATAATAAAATCTATTGGTTTCAAGCTTTAAAATGTTATATTATATGTTTTAATTGGTTTGCTCATTGTAAAATTAGAGCAATTAAAAAACAATTGCCATTTTTTTTGCACGCCACTGTATATTTCGATTTTATAAGACTTTATTGCTTAACTACTGATATCAGCTATAGCTAATTTTAACATGATACAACTGACTCTTGTCAGAGGAACAGAGGTGCAACAAAGAATGCGGCAAAAGGCCAATTAGATAAGTATGGTAGGAGGAGGAGGGGGAGAGGCAGAAATAGCTGGATAGATGATAGATTTGATTTAGATGTTGATGGCCAAAAAGGTGAAGGAAAGAGAGATTTATTTTGAAGTAGGTTACGATAAAAAGTGATGTAGATATCAGGGAGGGGAGGGGCCACTGTATATTTCCACACGTTAACTAACAATCATTTTAATAGGCTTGTGTTCAGCCAATCATTAGATTTTCATGAGCTTTCGTAATTTTAACCCCCTGCTAATTCCGCAGTCTGTCAAATAGAACCCTTCCTCCTAATCGATCATGTCAACAACCGAGATTTGCTCTTATCCAACGGTACAGGAATTATCCAAAGCACTCGCTGATTATGTCGCTAACTTGTCACGCGAGACAGTGTCAGCAAGGAATAGGTTTACGGTTGGATTATCAGGTGGATCGTTACCAAGGATACTAGCAGCGGAATTAAAACATAGAACAGATATTGATTGGGATAAGTGGATAGTCTTTTTTTGTGATGAAAGGTAAGTTTATCTGGAATCTGATTGTAGTGATGTAACGATATGTCACTCTCATTTAACTGCTTTCCATATATTTATTCACTATTTTATGTAAAGGCTCACCCCATTAGATTCGGAAGATTCTAATTACAAGTTGGCAAAAGAAGAACTCTTCGATCATGTCTCCATACCAGAGTCTAACATATATACGATCGACGAATCTCTGATTGCCGATGCCGAAGAAGCCGCTAATGACTATCAAGACAAACTAATCTCGGTATTTGCCGCAATGAACACTGCCAAATTTCCTGTCTTTGATCTTTTACTACTCGGAATGGGCCCCGATGGACACACGTGTTCATTGTTCCCAGGCGATGCGTATGCTGAAGTTTTGAACGAATCGCTAGCATGGGTGACGTTTGTTGAGAACTCACCCAAGCCACCACCGAGAAGAATTACATTTCCACCGACAGTACTTAATCACGCGCATAACGTTGCGTTTGTTGTGACGGGAGAGGGAAAAAAGGTTGTGTTGAATAAGGTGATTGACTTGCACGATACCACTTATCCAGCTGCGATGGTTAAACCAATTAATGGAAAGTTGGTTTGGTTCTTGGATGATGCTGCCAGTGCTAATCTGGTTGCTTTAAAAAAGTAATTAGAAAGGGGAAGTTCGAGATTTGGCTTGAGTAGTCTGGCTATTACATGTATATTTAAATGAACGATATAGAACATAGCGTTGACTTTCTGCATTTATTTATCATTATCCAAAAGTCACACGACTGAACCGTGCATTCTATGATTTCATTGCTTTTCTATTGATGTTTCAAATAAATTCATATTTATCACACACCTGTAAACATATGAATATGTTATAAGCAACGATCGTTGCTTGATGTTGACGAAATGAAGAAGCATATAGCGGGTTACATAAATCTTTGGCCTTGTGGCATGACTTTTCCCTAATGACTCGCACTGTGATGTTTGAAATTAATATAATTATATTATATCCACTTTGTTAGGTTATTTCTCCTGCAGTCACGTATTTCAAAAACAATAAGATGTCACGCCACACAATAGACATGATTGGTTTGCTATATCTACGTGTATATGCCAAACCCTTATCTCATAACTGTATTTTCGGCCACATTGCTAATATTAGCACACAATTGCGGTGAAAATAAAATGATGAGAACAATTGTAATGGGGATCGAATTATCAATAATGTATTAAGGACTACTCGTTTATTAGAAACAAATATTAAAAGAACATCATCAAATTTAGCGGAAAGTCGAGCCGCTTATATATCTAAAAGTGTTGCGCTCGATTTTTAGCATCTAAATTATTGCAAATAATCATTCAATGGTTCATGAAATCACGAACTGCGCAGATCAACTTTCCGTTTTAGTTTGCGAAAATTAAAGGGTTTCGGATAGGTTATTTACAAACGGTTATTAGTTAATACTGTACATACCTGTCTCTCACTGATTATCTAGAATTTTCAACGTATAACCAGAAACTCTTGTCAGTTTTTTCATTCTTAAGCAAGAAGAAAAAGGATATTATAAGTGCATTTTGAGGGGCGGGCGATATGAGCAAATTACTATCAAAGTATTCAAAGAATACGCTCATATGGGGTGAATACTACTCCGAAGTTTTACCACTGGATAATAAACCAGCTCGGAGACCTTCAAAAGTCAGCCAAATAGGCGAAAACTAAAGTTTTATCACTGGTCAACCAGTTCGGGCCGCCTATACTCTATTATAGCAACAACATAAAAATCACGAATTTACAAGACATTACATAACCTTGTGAACAATCTCCCCGTTTGTAATGACAGCCTTTAAAAAGTTTTTCTTCCAAACTGCATTACGATCAGTCCATTTGTTTTGACTACACTCTGCGATTAACAACTCTTTATTCTTTGATAAAAAATCGTTATGTGACCATTTATTGGAAATGTAGTCTCCAAGGATTCTTTAACAACAAATCGTGTTAAACAAAATAGTAAGAGGGGGTACATTACAAGATATGCATACCTGCTTCTGCTTGAGTAGTAACAGGGTTCATTGGCCAGATCCTTATTATTCCGAATATTTATAGATCCATCACTAAAATGTTATTATTTTACGTATAAAGGTAGGCGCATCAGCCATGAGTCCCTGATTCATGTAGGCACTGTAAAAACATACCCCGTGTTCTTGTTTCCTATTCAAATAAAGTGGCACTACAGTAAATTTGATAGTAAATAGTTCAAGAGTAACGACACTCTTCTATTTCCATTAATAAATAAAAAAACACACCAAATTTAATAACATCATCCAACTCCAACTTCGATTTTTCTTGATATTGATGGACTAGTGTTTCCATGTAACTGCTGTGCGAGCAAAGATGTAAAGTGATCCATTGGAGATTAGGATGTTAATGGCATTGTGAAGGTTTGGACCTTTGTAGCCACACGCGAAAACCAAGAATTATTCTGTGAACATGGTCCAGAAAAGCTTTGAAGCATGAGGCGCTTGGTACTTGAGAGGAGATACTGAGGATCGTGGTCATCATAATCTAGTCTCCACCAAAGTTTATGAAAGAAAGTTTTTTCAGGAGTGCGCGATGAATCAAAATAAGCACGTCATATGACTCGTACTCGTAAATAATAACATTATTACCAATATTTCAAAACTTGTTGAGACAATTATTTCTGTTAAAATTAATGCGTTCAAATAAAAAAATCAACGATGTGTGAAATTCTTACGTTTTGTACAAAGCTTGTTAATTAGCAAAAATATCAAACCGTGCTGAAACGCGATCAGGTCATAAATTCGCCACTTATAGCAAACCAGAAGACGTTTAAAGCCAAGGGCACAATTCTCAAATATATAACAGTAGCCGCATTCAACATTAAGCGGGTTACTTTTAATTATGAGATTGGTAATTTTGGCGCGATGTGATCAATTGGAAGTTATGCCAAATAAGGAGATAATAAACGCCTTGTACTATAGTGATACATATGTAATCAGGAATTTATCCGACATGTCACACGGCTCTTTTTCACCCCAAAGTTGTCTATTTGTAGATTATACTACCCTAAAAAAGAAAACATTTCACCGTGTAACATGCCGGATAATATACAAATAGTGGCGTGACCGACTTTCAAATCTCCCATTCTTTTGCTCTCCTCTTACTCTTCTCACGTTTCCACTCGCCAAAGAAAAAATGACCAGAAAGGTTGTTGTTGCTATTGATCCTTCTTCAGACGAGTCTCTTTACACAATTGAATGGATAATCGAAAATTTCTTGAAACCGGAAAAAGACGATGTGCATCTTATCTCTGCTATTTCTCTAAACTCTGACTTTGACGCCGATGAATTAGGTATCATGTTCGTGTTAGAGAAGAGAAAAAGACAGTAACTGGAAAGATTAAACCCTAATACTTTCTGTAGGTTTATATACAATGTCGGTAACCGAGGAAATTATGCAAATTGAGAAAGAGGTTGGTTGTTAATGCCTTTGGATATGGATTAAATTGAACGCATATTATTTCCGCACACAAAATAATGCTGATAGACAATTCGTTTAGATCATAGAAAAGACACGAGAATCTATGAACGAGTTCCTTGAGAGATTGCAGGCTGCAAACGTAATTAAAACAACTATTGCTTTCTTCCGCATGCTTTCAAACAAGCGTCATTTTATTACTTTCAACAGATTAATGCACGTGTAGAAGTATTGAAATCGTTGTCCGACTCGCGTAATATTGTTGTGGAGTATACTGAAAATGAAAGGGCCGATGTCTTGATCATGGGTTCTCGTGATTTGAGCACGTGGAAAAGGTATTTTATATAAAAAGGTGTAATTCATAATCCAGTATTTATTAATTGACATGCAATATTATTTTATTAGACTTTTCCTTGGCAGCTTCTCGGACTTCTGTCAACAGAATTCCCATTGTCCTGTTCTCATTGTGAAAAAACGACAGAAATAATCATCATTTATGTTTATCACGTCTATTCTACTTGTTCTTGCATATGTACACCCTGGTACAAGTAGCATTCATAAATTATGTTTGTCTGTTTGCGTACAAGGGCGAATCCATAGCAAGTATATATTCCTTGGCACCTACCGTAGCCGTTCCTCCAGGAACACCGAACGTTGTCGTCATGAGTGGTGCTTCATCAGATGTCAATGATTGCCACGAAATACCATTTGCTAATCCAATAATAAATTAGAAAAATTTTGAGTAGTTGGTTGCTCTTACTGAAAATTTACATACCTTTCTTTAATACCAACTCTACTTTTGTGTTGAGAACCTCGTATTTACTGTTCTCCGGATCAATTCGTTCGTAGAGTGAATAAGTCGATTTAAAGCGCTTTCCATCAGCCGTTTTTAAGTTGACAGATACCTGGAAACACGATTGCAGAAATGTATTAGCCAGTGAAAAGAATGAATATAACATTAGATTCTATAATTGCAGACATGCTAACCTCTCGTTCACTAAAGGTAACATCTGACTGGTTGGCATCTACTTTCTTGGCAAATACAGACATTATGACTTGTGAAACGGTTTGATACCTGTAACTCCACATTTGTTGTATTAGATATCTCACGTTCTCGATCAAAGTTCCCTCTAGCCAATCATTTTGATTGGTTAGTCAGTTAATTCAGACTCATCTTCTTCAGGCTTACCAATCATGCCGACACTGGATTGTCTCTTCAGAATTCGTCTACGATACATTCCACAATAACTCAATGAGACTATGCACTTGGATCACAGTGGAGAAAATAAAGAAGTATGACTGCTTACATCTTTTTTGCCAGATCCAACAAATAGATGCTTTCCTTTTTCACATCCTTTGATTTTGAGAAATTCCTCAAACTCGAGTACTTTCCGCGAACAGCAAGTCCAACCTACCGACGACACGTTTACAAATTAGCTTTACCTATGACGACTGGCGAATACATATCATATCAGTACTTGAATTCATACCTTTACTGCCCTCATGAAATATTGGTTCTCCAGGATGATACAAGCACTCGGCCTCAGGTCCATCACCTCTACTGGTAGCCTCATCAACATACGTCTTCTTACATCCAGATCGCTTACAAGCGGTTCCAGATGCCACTGGAATGGTCAAGTCGTCTTCTTCAGGCTCTTTACTGGCTGCTTGAGCAGATTTAGTTGACTCCTGTTTAGGAGCGGAAGCGGGTGACTTCACCTCATCGCTCTCAAAAACTTCCACCTTCGACTGTTGTACAAGAGCAGTCTTTTGCTTTTCCAATTCACCGAGCCTGACGTACAAAGGCTCGAGAAGACTCTTTCCCTCGACAATTCCTATAGTATCTTTAATCGTTTTAATCTCTACCGTCGTTTCTTCTATTTGTTTTTTGACCGCCTCGAGTTGATTGTTGGACTCCATTGAAAATAATAATATCAAATAGAAACAAAGAGAATGTTCAGGTCACAGCCACCGCCGTATCACTTTGAAGCGATCATATGAAAGATCCGCGGATTTTGTATTGCTTAGCGTAGTAATATTGCATTTAGAAGGTTGCGTTTGTTACACAAGAATATCGCCCTGTCGAAATTGGTTGAATAATCAGTTTCATTCCAGAATTCTATCTGTACCTTATTAGATCTATGATAATTAGTGCAATGTCGAATATAGGCAAGTTGCAATACCAGAATAAAATAAACCCAGATGTCGGCCTCGGAAAAAGTCAGGATAGCAATATGCAGAAAATTTGAAAAATAGTTTATTGGTGCTCGAGGAAGTAGTGGAAGTTTCCCTTTAACGCAAATATTAATATTATCTTATTCAATGTAAGTACTTGCCGTTACACAGTAACGTGTTTCAATTATGGAATGTACAGTAGTAGTAGTTCACTAATTCATCGCGTGGATATGACAATAATGAGTACAGCGTGATTATGGACATCAAACATGTCAGTTCACTCGGTTTATCTCTCCCAATATGAAGGTAAACCTACCAACGGAAAAAACAAATTGTTGTTGGATCAAAGACGCGTCTGGCTCTTTATCGATCCTATTACTATACTCATATTAACATTCTCTCCACATTTTCGGGCAACAATAAATATTAATATACGGTTCCCTGTTCAGATCGCTTGTTATCAAAGTTCCAAAAGACACAACATTCTTTTTCTTTTTTATAAAAGAAACTAGCAGCTAACTACTTATTTACTAGTTTCGAAGCGGGGTTCAAAATGCATGATTATGATGGGAAGCTAGCTATGAAAGCGCCTTCAAAAAAGTCGATATTGTGCATACATCTCCTAACGTATTGGTTAAAAAAATAACTTTTACATTCAATAATCAATGAGCTTCTGTTGCCTTTATTATTATATTTCGTATATAGAACATGTTCCTACAATCCATTGTTAAAACGGAAGTTTGTGGCCAAGTATTTGACAGGAACGGGTGCGTGTAGAAAGATTTTAAGACATTTAATTCGCGTTGTCGATATCTTCAGCAATACTCAATAGCAGTTCTACGAAAACGAGATAAAGAGCCTATATTAATATATCGAGATCATTACAGCTAGTTTGGCCGTGAATTTTTTTAAGAGATTACCGTACCTTTATACGTCCATCCACACGAATGGCGCTGCTCTGGTGTTAGCGATGCCCAGATATATCCCAAATTCTTGGACAGCTGGTTCCAATTCAGTGTAGTTTGTTTGCCTGCAATAGCATTGGATATGCCTATGCGAAATTTATTTCGTACTTCATACCGCACCTGCCTGCGTCTCTTTGGACTAGTTGGCATGATTGATTTGAGACTAGAGCGAAGGTAGAGCGAGGTAGAGGACAATATTTATCGGTTTTACTGCGCATAATTAAGTAAATACACGTGATCCGGGTATCTGCTGATTGAAGGATAAATATTTGCGAGTTGACTTAACCTATCTTTGTTATTATTATAGGAGTTGAATGTTGATTGAGTATCTCTAACTATTGAGCCAGTGCATCCGAGATCTTACTGGTAGCCTCTTCAACGGTCCCCCATCCGAAGACTATGATTTGAAACAATCAATTTTATCAAATTGTTTACGTGCAAATTTATGTAAACAACATGTAAGTTATTAGTTTATTGATCATAACAGTTGTTGATGTACTGAAATCGGTACAATGGAAACGATTGTTTTAATCCAATTAGTCATTATTACATAATGCTCTTTATATTGTATCAATATGTAAAACATGTAATTAATAAACTAAAATTAACGAATCTTTCGTTAATTCTGATTAGTGTCCTTGATCGTGTATTTGCCATACTAAATAAAACATACAAGTATTCGTTAGTCTCTGATGTGAGCAAGTTTGAGCATATCCCCTTTTACGTGATTGATCTGTTACACTGTCATACTCACATTCTTTTCAGGATCATAGACTTCCCATCTGCTGGCCGGGAAAATGTGTTTGTTCTTTTCGTACCAGTTTCTTTCGACTACCTTACCTGCATGAGACTATGTAAAGGCTAAGTGCATGAGTCTTTATGGTCGAGCAGGTAGCATATAATATACCATATTTGGACTTTAATGGTTTACCTCGTCTTTTTCAACGGTGGCATCATGTGTCAATCGCACGTCATCGTGAACATCAAAGTTGAACAGCGGTCCTGATTTTCCACGTGCTTTGTTGATAATAAAGTCGTAGAATGTGTAATGCTTTGAAAGACAATAAAGGCCATTCAGTATTCAACAATTATAACCGACATGTAATGAGATCAAGAAAAGCTTACATGGGGAATGATTAAATCTTCCTTAACGTAGATCAAATTATCTACACTAACACCACGAAGCTCATGAAATTGCTGGCGACACTTTTCCAAGAACTGTGTAATAGTATCTCCTTTCTTGCATGTTACCGTCTTACGATGCCCAGTACCATCCCAGTACGAGTATGTGACCTGGATCTTCTCGTCTGTGCAATTGGCCACGAAAGTCAGTGGATGCGCAAATATGAACAAGCAATCTCCATTTACTAAACAAACATACTTTTAACCTCTTCTTGTTTCCGTAACCACTCCAGCCTTAGTTGCTCCCTTTCCCTTCTTTCTTGTTCTTCTCGTTCCCTGTCAGGCAGGAAAGAAGTATCAACGCTAGGATTCTTACCTATTTTAGACTTCTTTGGCATAGATTCTATCGAATCTATAGAGCTGGGATGTGTTAAAAAAAGTGAATTATAAAATAGCAAGCTTCACGTCATGTAATCAACAAAGGCTTTTCAACATACCACCAATTCGCTTGTCACCAGTTTGGCTATTCTTGCTATCTGCGCTAACTTCTTCTTCACCATCTATGTCGAATGATAGCTTGACTTCAGGCTTCTTCTTCTTTTTAGACTTTTTGAGCTTGTCAGTCCTAGATCGTAAAGTTGTCAATCATTCGAATACAAATACTTTAAGGATATCGAAAATAAAATCTTACATAATTATAAAGACACCTACTTTAACTCGGAAGTTCTTGCCGCTTCCCTCTCTTTCTGCACTTCAATTTCCATCCTGATCTTTTGAAAGTCTTCCAACTTGTACAGACCCACCGTTTCTTTCTTTAAAAAACCCTCTACGTCTGCATTCTGGGTAACAAACTTGCTTGAAGTGACATTGACTTGATTGTCCTAATATAAGTCATAGAACGTTTAATATAATTATAAAAACCAGTCTACCAACGGACAAGCGATCTACCTTTGTAATCTTTTCTCTTTGCTTTTCGAAATCGCTCAACATCTTGGCGCGCTGTTTCTCCAGCATCGCTTGACGTTGACCTTCGGAAGATGCACCTTTGTATTCTGCCATGATTTCTAAATCAAAAGACGTGTGTTTGTGTAGAGAAAAGGTGGGGGTGGATATTATTCTTATAGCGAAATTCGGGGTTACACAGGCTGAATTTTGAAGTTTCCCCACGTTTAATGTATGCTTTTTTCCCTTCCAAAATTTCTTATAGAATCGAACAATACGATAGAAAATGTCTATGCACTTTACATTTCGCGAGGAAAACTATGTAATTATCGAAAACGGATCTTGGCGGCTGAAAGCTCGAATAGGTGTTAGAGAACGCGATACTAATACGCCCGAGGCCCCCACAGTAGTAAGTACTATTAAGCCGTCGTCTCTTCTTATCTTTCCCGTGTGCGTTTCCCTTCCCGAGCCTCGCTTTTCGAAAAGACGCGGCTTCAATACTGCCCTGCTGTTATTGTTCGTTAGTCCACGCGTTTTCTTTTCTTGTAATAAGGCAAGTTCAAATGAAACGGCCTGGTCATAAAACGAATCATGTATAGTATCTCCCGTGCGAAGTCGGTCAGAAAGTGACGCAGAACGACGAGAAAAAGGAAATAGTAGAGGGTGCTGTTGATACGCAACAGCCCGAACAAACATCGCCTCGTGAAGATACTGCGCTTGCTACTCCGGAACCAGCGTCTGAGAAGAAATATGCAAAAGAACAGAAATACTATTGTGGCAGTCAGTTGAAAGAAATGAAAGACTGTCTAGTGATTTCTCGTCCTATCGAAAGAGGAAGTGTAAAGAATTGGGAGGAATTAGAAGCGCTTTGGTAAGACGTCATAATGGTTATTTGCTAAAATGGTAAATTAAGGATTAGCATTTCGATATATGTAACAATTTGTAGGAGGCAGATACTGCTGAAAGAATTTAGCATAAAGAGAGCTAGAAATGAATGTCCGGTGATTACCTTGGTACCGAGCTATTGGACAAAAGAGCAACATGAACGAATTGCACAGATTTTCTTCGAGAGCTTTAATATTCCCGGACTATATATCGCTGATCAGGCTTTGATGTCTTTATATGGCTGTAATTCAATGAATGGTCTGGTGATTGATATCGGACACGGCACAACAGGTACGTAATGGGCAGTATAAGTGTTGTATTTCTTGACGTCCGCGAAATAAAACTAACTGTCTTTATGCACTATTGTCGTCATGGCATTGTTAGATATCACGCCAATAATCGATAGCGCCGTCCAATATAATGCAATTCAGACTTTATTGTTAGGCGGACAGGATCTGGATGAGTATTTGTGTACGTTGTTGAGTTCAGACCCGCAGTTTCTACAAGAATATGGCGAGCCTATAAACGTTGATTTCGCTAGAGAGATCAAGGAAATGGATATATGTGAGCTAATCGATGAAGATGATGACTTGGATGAGAGACCAGAAAGGGTTGAAGTCGAGTATAACGAAAAAAAGGTAAGCATCATCAAAATCCTCTCCGGGAGTCGAACATAAGTATATTAATTAGACACTTTGTTCTATGTACAGTTTTCTGTTGGTCCGGTACGATTCCATGTGGCGGATCCTTTGTTTAATCCGTCTCTAGTTGGAAAACGGGAAATTATGTCGTTACCCGATGCCATACATCTCGCAATTACTAGTTGTGAAGCAGATAGGAAACAACTTCTTTTTGAGAACATTGTACTTACAGGAGGAATCAGTTTAATAAAAGGTAAGCAGAATAGCACCTTTTATGTTTCGTGCTCAAATACGAGACTATTCTAATTATAATTAAAATATAACTTTTAAATGGGATTATAAGGATTGAAGGAACGTGTACAGAAGGAACTTCATCGTTTCCTATCCATTACAGAAAATACTGGAGAATTTCAGACAAGAGAAAGTAAATTTCTTAAGATTCCTGAATTCTTTGCAGCTTATAAAGATAGACCAGACCTCGCAGGGTTTCTAGGTGCAGCTATTGTAGCAAAGGTAGGTAGTGTTTTATAATTACAAATGACATTATCTTTGATATCAATAATATGCTAATATGTCAATTTTTGTTTGTAGCTTGTTTTCCCCGAACCCAAAAATTTTATTACAAAAATAGACTACAACGAGAATGGGCCGTCAGTCGTTCATGTTAAAAGTTATTAACGATTACTCACAATCGATAGTCAGATGAGCTCGCTCGCTTAGAGATTTCGGTGTGAAGCGAATTGAGGGATTTTCTAAATAAATAACATCTATTTGGCCCAATGTCTTTAGAGGCTATGGTGCACATCTCTCAGTGAACCGTGGGTACAGACAACAGTCCCTGACTGTCTTTCTATTCAAGAGCCATGCTAAAAAGCGTTCTAGCCCTAAACCAAAACCGCCATGCTCACAAGTTCCAAACTTGCGCTGATCCGTGTACCAATAGTATGGAGTTGGTTCAATTCCTACATGAAAGCAATGGGTGATTTAGAAATTCCAGCGAAAGATCGAAATAACAGACTTGTATGTAAAATCATATTAAAATTGAGGAACCTTCTCGCTTATAGCCCTCCAGCAGTTCTTCCTGTAGATTTGTTGTAAACGTACAAATGTCAACCCACGAACATGCATTCTATACGCAAACTGATTCTCTTACCAAATCCGTGATTCTCATGCTCGCGCCGACTATTTCGCCGACAGTTGGCATCAACAGATCAACACTCTCTGTAACGCGACGATCGTCAACACATTTCTTCATGTAAAATGCCTTTATCTCAGCGGGGAATCGACACAAGAATACGGGCTTTCCAATTTTATCAATCATTGCTCGTTCAGGTGCTTCCGGAATATCTTCTCCGAATTCATAGAAAGTTCCATCATCTTTTGTGATATTATGGTCTTTGAGATACTGAATTGCATCCTTGTAGTCGAGTCTCATGAATGGACGCTCCAATTTCTTAAAGTTCGGATTAAGTTGATATACGAGTTGGCTGATTTTTGGGTCAGCCAAGGTCCGATCAACGACATCGCATACCATGTCTTCTACTGTTTCGATCAGATCATCAAATGTAATAAAAGCCATTTCAGCCTCGACATGGGTGTATCTATAAAGTAACGGAACAATAAGATCGGACTAGTATTATAAACGGGACTCTATCATCAATCACGTAACCTACTCTGATAAATGTCTTCGCGTATGAGATTTCTCTGCACGAAATGACTCGGAAATGGTATAAACATCTCCAAGAGATGGAAGACAAGTTTCCAAGTATAGTTGTGCAGTTTGTGTAAGGTATACCTGTGACCGGATAAATGTGTGAACACGGTATACCGTAAAAACGATTGAGCATTACCAACACAAACCATTTCACCGTAATATTGTAGCGAGAACAATGTGCTTCCGCCTTCTACTTGTGTTTGCACCATGGAAGGTGGGGTAATCTCGGTAAGATCTTTGGAAGCGAAATGGTCGCGAAACGATTTCAGTACTGATGAACGAACTTTCAGAGCGGCAGACGCGTTTTCCCCACGAATAACCAAATGCCGAAGATCGTACAAGACTGAAGGATCAGCTTCCGAATTCAGCTGGTTAGTGAACGCGTCATCTCCACCAGGAGCCTTATGAATCACTTCCCAATAGTCTACCCGAAGCTCATGATTATCGGGTGCCTATGAAATAAAGACTCTTTTATAAGAGAATGTGTTTATAAATGTTATATCCAAATCGGGCGACACTTCATACCGTTTTTCCTTCGGGTAACTCGGAGATTATACCGTACACTGAGATTGTAGATTCTAAAGTCAACGTCAAGGCGTCATAAGAATGACACTGAATCAATCAGAAAAGTAAAAATTAATAATGTATGATCAATACGCATCAAGTCAATAATTCCCACAACGTACCAGTCTGCCAGATAGAAAGCATTGCAGATATCCAGCCCCGTCTCGAAGGACTATAAACTTCATATCCTTTCCTTGCGTTCGCTGACGATGAACCCAACCAGAAACTTTAACTCTATGATCGCGGTTTTCAATAGCTTGGCTAATTTTAATCTACATGATTGAACAAGGATAAAGTTGTATAAGCAAAATCTATACTGGAAATTGCTCGATACGATCATTTAGGAATTCCGCTCACCTTTTTCGCAGGGGGAAGCGAAGGATCTTCTTTGAGAACGATGCTCTTCGCTTCTTCTATTTTCTTTAATTCCTCTTCTTGTTTCAATCGTTCTTTCTTGGCTTTTGCTGCGTTTTGTTCTTCTATTTTCTTTTGCTTTCTTGCAATATCTTCGACGCGTTTTTTTGCCTTCTTTAGAGCAGTATCGCTAATTGGTTTAAACTCATTCTCCTCGGTTTTCCAGACGAAAACTTTAACATGACTACCATGTCCTTGTAGGGCCGCAACGGCTGTTTTATAAGGATTTTCCTTTGTTCCGGAGCCAGTCTCGTCGGAACCGGTGGTTTCGTTGATAAAAGCTGTTATATCAAGTACAGAGGAAAAAAGAAAATGATATCTTTAAAATCATATTGGCACTTGTTCATGCACCAAGAAATAGTCCATGATTAAACTGACCAACAGTTTCCTTGACGTCCATGTCGATACAACTGTTTAACTCGAAAAAACTCTCGCTATTTTATCGTGTCTGTAAGCTGGGGCACAAGCAATGACAGTTACTATGATTGGCAACAAATACATGACTCATATCGATAAGGCCAGCTGGTAACATATAACACAAGGTATCACAAAATTTTTTCAGCCCAGACGTTAAACAAAATTTTAGGGTTGCCCATCGACTCCCCGGAACTTGCGTTCAACTAGGCTCTTGCGGACGGTCATCAGTATCTTGACCTTGTTAGTTGCTTCTGAACTGATGTTGATGGTTTCACCTCTATCAATAACGCTAGGGATTGTAAGTTATTGTATTATATTTCCTTATTTTGTCGGGAGAGTAGACCGCCACTTGATCTGAAGGCGGTTCGCTGAGAGGGAGGAGGGAGGGAGAGTGTGAGTGGGGGGGGGGGGGGCCAAGATCTACAAACAAGATCATCAGCTTTGGAAACGCGCTTGGTTCACGTTATTAAGCTTCGCAACAACCAAATCTTGGCCTAGCACTTCTTCTACTTTATTTTGTTGCTTGCTTTTTGTTTTTGTTCCCTCCAGCTAAGACAATCAGATAGCACAGAAATTTTTTTTTTCGTGACTATTTGTATGGTTCTTATAATAACACAGCTATTCTTTCGCTTCGTTTGTTGTTTCTAACCTAACTTCTTTTTTTCTTTATATCCTTTGAAACATTACTATTTGACCTTTTGCGTTGGCCACAATTTGATTTGAAGAATTTGTGAACATAAAAGTTAGTTCACCTTTACCAACAAATTTAATTCTTCCACGAGTCTTTTTTATCACGCATCTTTTGTAAGTGCTTTTCAAACTTTTTTAGCTTTTGGTATGTCAGTGGCCTCTTTTGCCTTCTTACAAATGTCTGAAAATGTGTCTTCTCTCCGTGTAATCTGACTGACTTTCTCTATTTATCCATGCTTGCACAACCATTCATATCTTTCGTGTATAGTTCATTCCAGTTCCTCCCTTTTATGACGGTTTCATTAGATAATTAGACCAGTATTTAATAAAGTTTGGACTTTGTAATTGGTACTTTCAATTTTTTTTTTTTTAATCTTTTATTAGTTTGTATTTTCTCTTCTCACTGATTAATTGAAGCGGTGAACTGGCTGATGAATAGTCGCTTTGACAACGATGACGCGTGTTTCAAAGCTAACGAAAGATGCTCCTAAATGTGCTGGCTCTGATTATACAGATTCTCGAAGCCGCAAAGTTATATCACATACTGAAGCTCAATCCATATCCACCATGAAACGCAGTAGCGATTACGGAAACCAAAGTCACGATAATATCAAGAAGGCCCGATTCGGACAAGGAGGTTACGGCAGCTATTCATTGTCTGCTAGTGGTATGAGAAACGACCTTAGCCAAGGATCTTCCGCAAGTGATTTGTATAGTCACCAATTTCCCCCTGTTAGTCCGTCAGCTATGATGATGGGTAATCACTCTTATTCTCAAGGTAATCCCGGATTCCATCACCACCACGGACATCAAGGCGGTCATTTTGCTGCCATGGGAACATATCAACATGCCCCACAATATGCTGCTAGCATGGGTCAATATACCCCAACAGTAAGCAGTATGGTTCCGCAATTCTCAGGCTTTTCCAGCGCCCAATTTCCGGGCTACCAACAAGCTGCAGTGGCTTCCGTTACGAACTCAACTGGTCGAACTGTATATCTTGGCAACATTCCGGCGGAAGTACCGGTCGATGAAATTCTAAACCAAGTTAAAATCGGACCTATAGAATCTGTGCGCATTCTTCCTGACAAAAGTTGCGCGTTCATTTCTTTCATGGACGGGACTGCAGCTGCGGCATTTTACCATGATGCATCTACTAGAAAGATTATGATTCACGGTCAAGATCTGAAAGTCGGATGGGGTAAGCCATCCCCAGTCCCGTCTCAAGTGCAAATGGCTGTCAGTTCCCAAAATGCCACGCGAAATGTCTATCTGGGTAATCTTGATGACTCCATAACAGAAACTGTATTACGTGAGGACTTGGGCAAGTTTGGTGTCATTGATACGGTCAAGATTGTCAGAGAAAAGAATATCGGGTTTGTGCATTTCTTGTCTATTTCCACTGCAATGAAGGCGGTACAGTCTTTGCCACAAGATCCAAAATACACAAATAAGAAAATCAACTATGGGAAAGATCGATGTGCTCAGCGGACAACGACTTCTAACGGTGCAGCCTCACAATATGCATTCGGGGGATCTCTTGGTTTCCAAACCTTCGGTAATGTTGCTTTTCCCGGCTTTGACCCATACGCTGCGGCTGCAGCAGCGGCAGCGGCAGCAAATCATCTTGATAACAATTCCGAATTGCGTAGTCCCACTAGCCCGTTATTTTCTTCAGCGTCATCAGCTGCCGGTAGCACCGCCTCTGGTTCCAATGCTGGAAATCGCACAGTTTATCTTGGAAATATTCATCCAGAGACGATATGCGAAGAAATTTGTAATGTCATTCGCGGTGGAATACTCCAACAAATTCGGTATATGCCCGACAAGCACATTGCTTTTGTCACTTTCGTCGATCCCAACGCGGCGAACAGCTTTTTGTATCTCGCCACTCATCAAGGTATTATGATCAAGAATCGCAGACTCAAAGTCGGTTGGGGGAAACCATCTGGGCCTCTTCCTGGAAACATTCAAATGGCTGTCAACACGCAAAATGCCTCGCGTAATGTATACGTCGGTCAATTGGATGAATCGATCACAGAAGAAAAGCTCAGAAGAGATTTCTCCGAGTTCGGGGAAATAGAGCTAGTAAATATTCTTAAAGAGAAGAGCTGCGGATTTGTCAATTTCACATCAATTCTGTGTGCCATGAAGGCCATCGAGGGTATCAAAATGAAGGAAGAGTACAAGAAATTCCGAATCAACTTTGGCAAAGATAGATGTGGCAATCCACCGAGAGGGCTTTCGGGTGGTCCCAGCGGAGGTGCAAACAAGGCAAATAAAGGACGTAACAATGGAGAAACAGATGCAAGAGTACTTCATGGGGGCGATACTTCCGAGTCTGATTGTAGGAACGTTGAAGGTCAAGAAGACGAAGTTGCAGAAGTTGACGATGAGTATGTTTCTCATGAATGATTATCATCTCTTGTCATTTATTGTCCATTATATAGTTTCGATGAAGTCCTATTAGGAAATGTTGAACAGTGGCGGGTGACTAAAAATTTATCATGAGGGGTGTCGCATGTCAGTCATGTAATGTATACCAAAAAGCATATGTAATAAAACTGGGTCTTGCTCAAAATTGTTTAAAAAACTTGGTGGTGATAGTAACCTATTTTAACGTCTCTTGGTTTATCATTGTCTGAAGATATCCTACAGCAACAATGGATGTATGTTTCAAATGGGAGGAAGAGGACTTGAAGGATGTGAAATGTGAGGAAGAGGACTTGAAGGATGTGTGTTTCAAATGGGAGGAAGAGGCCTTGAAGAAGTCGAGAGATCTTCCAAGGAAATAACGTTGTATCGTGTGAGGTAGTTTAATAAATATTATTGAAAATTATTCTTGACAAGATTGTATGATAGTTATTTAGTTTTTTCGTCACAATCACAAGGGCGTAATGATAATTCGGAAAATATTTGAAGAATCTTGAGAGAACTAATTTTCGGAATGGGCTTAAAAAAAATTGTCTGCAAAACCGAGAAAGAGAGAGAAAGAGAAAGAACGTCGATAATTGCATTTTTAATTTGTATTGCAAAACATGACAGATTTACCTTTCGAACATTCTCGTTTCTTTCTTTCTCTCACTTTAGCAAAGTCAATAACCCGCTTAGTTTATTATTCTTCTACCTGCAAAATTTCCTGCTTTGATTAACTAATTAGTATTATCACCTGTTCTTGCCGTCGATTCTTGCCTTGCTGGGTTATTTCTTCCGAACATGTAATTTTTTTACCTCCTAAGATCGTTATTAAAACCATCTTGTTCGCTATTCGATTATTCATTCTGTTTAATTTCGCCGGTGGATAATTCAGTTTTTTCAGATGTCACTACTTTTCAAACTCAACACCTCTATCTGATAATGTCTTTTTAATATTGCTTTTATTTTCTCTTTATCAGACAGTAGATCGTATTTCTATCATTTCTATCACGGTTACGCGTAACTGGCCTGGAAAGAATCTCGTACGAAATATGCCAAGAGCGAGAAGTAAAAAAGCATATATCGCCATAAAACTGAATCTGAATAAGCCGATTCTTCGTTTATTCACACAAACGAAAATGTAATGTATTGTGCTGCATTTACTTTCAAGTTGTCAAAAATACTTTTTTTCGTGATCATTAAATTCTCTAGTTCCTATTTCAGATTTTCGTTCTTTCCAACCCTTGATAGAATGTTTAAGCCCAACCCGGAATAAAACGAGATAGAAAAAAAAATTATGGCGGAACATAATTTGATGCTTAAAATACAATCACTTATTTCATGACAAAGCATACGGATATTCATCGATGACAAAGTTTAATGTTGCGAAAGAAACTACTGGTGACGTTCAGAAAGCCTTGCATTATCATACAAGGCTTATAACAAATTAAAAGATAGAACTATGTCAATTAACATATCAGGAACCTATACCATCTGGTTGTTTCGTATTATAATGAGTATCATCCGCAACGATCTCCCGTCAGCAGCAGTAACTCATCAAGCTCAAATATCTTGTTTTTTCAGTGTTCACTCACGACTCATCTCTTATGTGACATGTTAACCTTCTTCTATGTCTCCACAATTAATATTAATGTTTAATTCGTTTGATGTATCTGTAATCAGCCTCTTACGACGCACCTAACTTACTGCGCAATCGATCAAGAAGTAAAAGTGTAATATTATAATACAAAGGAAGAAAATCTACCAATGTTATTCGATAAGCAGAATATGAGAAATTGAAGAACTTGGATCAGTTTCATCCGTTTCGTCGATTGTAGTGACTTTATCAACAGGTAGAACAAACTTGTCAACTTCTTCGAAATGTTGAATCCGTCGCAATTTCTGTTAAATAATCTAAGTCAGATAATAATTCCACCTACATGCTAGCAGATATAGAGAGTTTGACCTTTAAAGAAAGAGAATTACCTCATTTTCCAACCCTGTTTCCTGATCATCATTGGAATACGCCTCAATTTGTTCTGACTCGCTTGTTTCCAGTCGACTTTGGTTCAACTTTTGTTTTTTGCTACTATTGGTATTCCGACCCTTGTAAGCTCGTCTCTTTTGCTTTATATCAGGTTGCGCGTCTGTATTCGCTTCGTCTTTGTCACCACCATCTTTTCTCTTACGCTGCGTCCGGGATGGGCGACTTTTCTTGGCAATGGATTTCGCCTTCTGCTGGTGCTCGCTTTTCACTGGTATTTCATCAGACGGTTGGTTATCCGGTAGAGGAAGTTCATGTTGGATTGATTCGGGCGAGTGGGCATGAATCACGTCTTCTACTGAATCTGATTTAACAGGTTCTTCCAAATCGTTGCCTTTTTCGAGGCGCTGATCTCCACCGGTATCTGCTTGGCATGTCTGCTGACAAGTTGTGCTCGCTTTGGGTTTAGAATTACTAGTTTCTTGAGATAAAGATTCAGAGATCTCCTCTATCATGACAACCTCATCCTCCACATCCTGGTTGCCTGTAGTATGATCATTCGATTTCTCTTTACTGTAACTATCATATCTCTTGGCTTTTCTTTCTGCTTTTGCAAAACCAAAGGGATCGTCTGAATCATGATCTGAACACGAGCTATCACGCGAGGGCTGTTTTTTTGAACTACGAACATCGGCCAATTTCTGTTGATGTCTATTTCCTTTGACTGATGACGAAGCGGGGTTTTGGGAACCTCCATGTTTTGTTAGAGACTTTGGTGCTGCTATCTCGGTCCCTTTGATTTGTGCAGTCGTATCTGATATGTTATTAGACAAAGGGTCATCATCTTCTATACATAAAGCGGATTTGCCAGTAGCGTGTGATGTTTTATTTGAAAGCTTCTCTGAGGATAATTCGATATGAGTGGCCGCGTCTTTTACAAGTTCGGCATTTACGCTGTGTGCATCAACTTTTTCTTGTTTAACATTATGATTATCCGTTCTCTCACCCAATACTGTACGTTTACGAGTACGTAACGGACGTGGCATCTCGAGAGTCTATTAAGGTGCAGATGTGTGAGATTGCGGATAAAATGCAAGAATTCGCGTGACGTCATCACAATAATCGTGGCATATTACGATTGTTCTTCATAAATGCGTTTAGGCAGCTGTAATTATACACCCCAACATTATAGCTTCCGCCACTTGGTTGTGAGTAGTAAAGCCTGTTTGAAGGTCACTAAAGGTTGTTTGTATTTAACTAAGAGTAGAGAAACCACAGCTTCGTTCTAAATTCGAAGGTAAACAATTAATTGTTCTCCTGCGATTGTTTATGTTGGCTTGACAGTTTCAGAGTACATGAGTGTAGATTCTGACTACTAAATTTTTAAGAGCACCTCTTAGTCAAATTTAGAACATCAAACACTCTCCCACGTGACCAAACATAATGCTAGTATGCCATACAGAACATAACTGATACATCTTTATTATGATAAAATTGTTTAACAAACTTGCTATTTAATACTTGGTACAGATAAATTAAATCTTTTTGACAAATGCAATTTATTATCAATTTACAGTCCCTGTAATAGTAATTTGTGTCAAATGCTCTTAAGCACTAAACATTCTTCTTACCACTTTTATACAACTCAATCTTCTCCCTTATTTTTTTCTTTACTTCTAACCCATCTTCATAAAAAGTATACACTTTACTGTGTGCTTTACTGTATCCCTGTTCAGCTGCTTTTTCATAAAATTCAAGTGCCTTTTGAATGTCTGCTTCTACTCCAATTCCATTTTCATAATACAGGCCAAGCATATATTGTGCATAAACATTTCCTTTTTTAGCTCCTGCTTGACAGATTTCAATTACAGAGCTAATGTCAATTTTTGATCCATACACTTTGCTATAATGTCTACTGTTTTCAACCTGTATTGACATATGTGCTTGTTTTACTGCACTCTGATATAACTCAGCTGCTTTTTGTTTATCTTTTTCTACTCCAGTTCCATTATCATAACATAAAGCAAGGTTATATTGTGCACAGGCATGTCCTTGTTCAGCTGCTTTTTTATACCATTCAACTGCTTTTTGTTTATCTTCTTCTACTCCAGTTCCATTATCATAACATAAAGCAAGGCTAAATTGAGCAGAGGCATCTCCTTGTTCAGCTGCTTTTTTATACCATTCGACTGCTTTTTGTTCATCTTTTTCTACTCCAATTCTACTGGTATAGCATAAAGCAAGATTATATTGAGCCCTGGAATCTCCTTGTTCAGCTGCCTTTTTATACCATTCAACTGCTTTTTGCTCATCCTTTTCTACTCCAGTTCCATCTCTATAACACTGAGCAAGATTATATTGAGCCCTGGCATCTCCTTGTTCAGCTGCTCTGTGATATAACTCAAGTTGATCCCTTTTTTTCATAAGTGCACGAGTATTATCGTTATATATTACGATGATATTAAATAGTGAAAAACAGTGTTTCAGGGTAGCAATAGTGTTATTAAATTTTCACCCAATATACGCGGTTGTATAGTAATAGTAGGTGTGAATACGGAAGTAACAATATTGTATTAGTGTGAATATCGTAGCCAGTGTAACTGGTATTTATATTGGTGGAGTTTGTAGATCACCAAATATCGAATGATATTTTGGGGGTCGGGGTTAGATATCGGTAGTGTCACGAACATAATAAGGGGAAGCCTCATATTCCATATTTTCTGTCGATCACTTCAAATCGCTAAGGCTTTTGAAGGAAGCATAAACATCGTAAAAATACACACTGTAGTGCTTGCACTATAAAAAGTAGCGCCACTTTTTCGTTTCCTTTGACTAAATTGTAAGTTTGCATATGTAAACCTTCTTTTATTTAAACTTTTTTATAGCAGAATTAAAAAAGTAGAGGTATTCTCTTATATCGCAGGTGTTACAGTATGTATTGGTATAGTTTTTATGAGCGTAGCTTGCTTCTTTCAAAGACTTAGCGATTTGAAGGCTGCTATTGAAAGTGATCGGCAAATAAACTTCGAATATGGATTTTCATATGAGGCTTCCCATATTTAGCGCAAATATTTATTTTTAACTCGAATATTATTTTGGGGATTTTATTGTAATTTTGTACAACCTGAATAATGATGAAATGTTTATTCTAGTATTTGAGAAAAATCTAACTTTGTGAGATATTGTTGCAATTGCCTTTGTCCCACTCGCGATTATCTTGAGCCTTTCAGACTGGTTGCTTATATTCGCAAATTCGGTTACTGGGGAGGATGGATAAGAAGAGGACGTGAGGTTGTGCGTATGAGGGGATATTTGATATACCGTATATTCGAAATTATGGAGTTCCATAATAATTTGTCCTCTCCACAACGGAAACCTTGGAGCCCAATTTGGCTTTTTTTGTCCGCATATATAGATTTATTTTTGCTGCGTTGTGGCGAACGATTATATCGAATTCAGCCAATTTGGCAGCAGAGCCACTTCCCGAAAGTACTAAGTAGCTTGACGGTAAAAATCGTCATGTTATGACATATTTGCACGGTTGACTTTATGCCCGTAGCCAAGGACGAGCACATGGCATTACTGTTTGGGGTTTTGGCGAAGATGTGACATTTAAGCGCATTTACCTATGATGGAATGTGTGAATTTCGTTAAAAGTGTTGCAAATATATAGTCGATTTACTGCCTGAGATTAACCAGAGTAATTTCTAGAATGTCATGCAGTCGTTTCAAGCCAATTAGATTTTATTTTTTTGGAATCGACGTTAGTTCTTTAGCAAGTTGAGAAATACACGCCCGTATTTAGACCAAATCTGGTTGACAAGTTGGCTGGTAGCTGTATGTCGCACCACCTTAAGCTTAAACCCAGATGGTTAAGTCTTAAATACCGAGTGAAATTTGCAATGGGAAAATTTTAGCTAACGTATTTAGGAACTCAAAAGCGTTTTTTTTTATATGTCGATCTGTGTTTACTCATGATTGTGTTTGCATCCCCCACCAATAGAAGGACTATCGCTAACGTATTCAGTAACTCAAAGTATTCTTTCACAAGTAGTAATACCACAAGTTACTTGCGCTTACATAGATTATTTATTCTTTATGCTAAAATTTACAGACGTTAAATAACATATATTTATAACAAAAACCCAGTTGTTTATACACGCAAGTAGGGTTGATATCGTAATGTCAATAAAATACTTTTATAATGTTGTTACCTGATTGTCCAATCTGACATACAACAAGGATGCTGATTGTTAGTTTCGCTACTGTTTGGAGGATTCATGTAACGAAGAAGACATAGTATTATTTGTAGCCATTCATATTGAAGACCGTTTAATTTTAGCAATGAGTAGGGGAGATTGTTTTATTTTGCTTTTTTTATGCGTATTATACAGTACAGCAGTATGGTCACAATACAGTATGCTTATTTTGAATTACGACAAAGCACAAACACTGTATTAAGTAAAGAATATATAGGAAATGGACATTAGCGTTTTTTCACAGATACCCCAGTGAGCCACGCACAGGTTTCGTTTCGGGAAATCGAAATGTACATAAAGATACAAATATTTTAACTGGCCAGAGATGTAACACAGAAGTCACGCTCCTGCAGCAAAACCTCGCGATAGTAGTTTTCGAAAACAACTACAGTCGACCTCCCATACAGTCACACCCTCGGGAATGACCAAAACCAGTGACTATAAGGAGGGGTGACTGTATG